CGATATCTCAAACCGTTCAAAAGTTATAGCCAAAAAACCGTTTTTCATATAACCCCCCCGCCCCCCCTCCCCAGGGGGGAATTTGGAAAAAATTCAACCATTTTTGGGTGTCCCTGACCATGCCCTTTGATACCTGAAAAGATGAGGAGATTTCATTCGGGGCCCAGTTTCAATGGTAGATGGAACAACCTCTTTTCACAAAAATCCGCACAAACCGTTTTCATGTAAAAAATTAACACACACTGATTGCGGTAGATGCATAGGTCGTAAGACAGAATGTTTGAATTTTTTAGCCAACGTGTGTTAAAAATCAGCATAAAGCTGAAAATTTCAATACAGAGGGGAAAAGCCCATATGAGCACAATTTTCCCTCAAAGAGGTACGCTGTTTGGTGCAACACTAGCATGACAATTCAGGAAATTCAGGAGACTGCGCTGCACTGAGGATTGGCCCAATAAAGCCGAAACGCGTCTGCAGTGCCTTCCTGAGTGGGCATTCCTAGTGTTGCGCCAAACACCACCAAGCGCATTATCTCTTTGAGGGAAAATTGTACTCATATGAGCTTTTTCCCTCTGTATTGAGATTTTCAGCTTTATGTTGATTTTAAACGCAAGAGTTGACGAAGAAAATTCCAACATACTGTAAAAAATTAACTTGCCCGATTCAATTTGGCGATAGTTGATATGGCTTTTTGCTTAACGCGGTTCAAAGATCTCTTTTGATAGAAAATAACTTAGATTGTTCATTTCTGCATCCAATGCGATCAGTGAATTGTTAATTTACATAATTGTCCATTCTGTTGATTCGAAAATGGACAAGATGATCGGTGGGCAAATTGTAAGATGGACAAATTAGCACTAGCACATTGGACGAAATAATCATGAACGACTTAAAGGTACTGGACCAATTGAGGGGCTTGGAGGACAAAGGTGCATAAGTGCAGTTTTTGCTGTTCCGAGATGAACGTGTTTGAAGTTCCAAAATTGCATGGATTTGGATCCCAGGCCCCCCACATGCATCGGTGGGCCCCGGGGTCGGATCAGTTAGCGGGCCCCCTTTTTAATAAACTATCTAAGGGAGGTCTGGGGGGTTCGGGGGGCCACCCCCGATTTTTTAAAATTTTGCCTCCAATCTGAGTGATTTCATGCTATTTTTGCACTTATTCAGATTAGTTTATGCAAGATTTTTCCCTTTTTAAAGTCTCAGAATTATTGCAGTCGTTTGGAAATTTGTGGTGAGCCGTTATGAAAAAAAAACAACATTCGACGTATAAATTTGTTTTTTTTTTTTGTTTTTTGTTTTCATATGGAAAAAAAATCATCTTACTCCTGCGAAAATATGAGGTTTGAAAACAGAGAAAGACATTACTTATGAAAAGACTGAAAATACGTCGACTTTTTGTAGTATTTTTTTAGGGAGCTTTCATGCTGGAGAAGGCCTGAATGACGTCCGAAAAATCCAATGATGATGCTAGCCTGTGCTCGATGTAAAGCAGCGCTAATGAATTTAAACAATCCTCTCCTGTACTAGCTCTTTACCATGTTTTGAGGGTATGATCAAGTCCACTGAGAGCTCGTTCTCCGCAAGCGACGGTGACGGGAAGTGTCAAGAAAATTCGAATGGCAATCGTTACACTTACGAAAATCGATTCCAGTTTTTTTCCATGTATTAAATTTAGAAGATTGAGTGGACTAATTTCACTTTTGGAGCCGAATACTGAGACGGAAACATGTTTTAGATGAGGGATACTTTTGCCGGCAAATTGGTAATACAAATGGAAACTTTGGTGGTTCTGGGGTGCCCTACCGGGCACCCCCAGGCTGGAGTCCCGGCAGCCCCCCCCCCATGTGGGGGGCCTGATGGATCCTTATAGTGGAAAAAAAGTTCAAACTGTCTTTTTGACGCGTAATAATGGGAATTTGAGAGCGAATTTTTCACAGCATATTCATTAAGACTAGTTTTGTTTCAAAGCATTAACATCTCAACTTTTCCGAAAACTGCACTAATGTGCCTTTGTCCTCCAAGCCCCTCAATTCACAAATCGGACGATTTTTTTCTACTAAAAATGCATTGGACGAATTAGGATTGAACAAAGTCTCTTGGAACCGCTCATATACATGCAGTTACGTTATAACGCTCCTCGAAGACTTCCGATGTAATTAAATTATTTTGCTCAACAATTTTTGTGTTTAATGGCCCAATAATATTTCAGGCCGAAAAGAAACATGTTACTCTACAAGATTAACCTTGCTCAAATTTGTCAAGAATAAGCTTTTCTTAAAATAAGTTGAGCGCATTTTTTCTTAACTCTCTTGGGATAAATGGGCACGTGTGGTGAATTGAAACTACGTAGGAAGTAATATATAAGACAAAATAAGTCTCACAAAACCAATATTGATTAATAAACTTGGGGACGTCATACGACCACTTTAAGGTCATCACCATGGATTAATTCTCCTTTTAAAATGTGCCGTGCAACGAGTAGTACCTACAAGTATGAGTCCAGTTGCATAATACCCGTCCAGGTGCTGCGTGTTCTGCTACAGCTCCCGTCAACGAGGAGGTATTCAATCTGTACTTCATGATGCGTCGCAGTGCGTTGCCTAACTATCGTCGAAGAGTCTCGCCCAATTCCAATAATTTTGTCATTTTGGACTTTCAAAATACACAATCTCTTCAGCCACTCTCATCCCTTCATCACAGTCCTCCCAAATTATTATTTGTTGGAATTATACTTCTTGTGAGAAATTTTGTTCTGCGGACGGTGGCGGTGATGTTAATGGTTTTCCAGGGTGCATTGCTGCATGCAAATCGAATCCAGGAGGCATTGTCATTGTGCCCTGGGCCTGTAAGGAAATAATTTTTTTTTTTTAAATTTACAGAGGTGCACATTTTTCTCCGCTCCTATCATACCTGAATGTTTTCTGTAAGTACCTATCTTTATTTTTTTTTTTAATTCACGGGCCAAGGTATGACACCAGGTGTCATATTTCAAGTTGGAAAAAATGACAAATTCTGAGTTGAGCTGTTTGGTGCGTTTGAGAAAAAAGTGTTATGTATTACCCATCGATTTCTTCATAAAAATCTTGATAATTGATCTCTGAAATCTCCGGTGTATGAGTTCTTTCTAGTTATCGAGATATTTTCGATGAAAAATTAACCACGTGTTATTATCCATGAAGGCCCCAGCCCGTGGGCACTAGGCGGATTGGAAAATTGGCGGGAAAAATCAGCTATTATCAGAGACGATTCGTATTTTCTGACGCAACGTTTGCTGGACGAAGAAAGCTCGTAGAGTTCGATGCTAGAGTCCCTTTATAACCAGAGTTAGGACAACTCGATTATCAGCTGACTAGCCGCCGGCCTTGGCTGGCCATGGAGGCACGAACGGGTGCACCCAAACGAACGATTTGAGGGTTAAAGATAAGGAATCCTGCGATGTCTGTCATCCAAAAACAACAACATCAACAAAATTGATCGATTAAAAATAAAATGAGATTGGTTTGTGAATAATTGCTTAATCTACTTTCATTTTGGACCGATGGAAATAACAATTTACTCTTGATAAACCACAATTAGGTGATATTTTCATTATTTTCGTTTACATTCGAGTCACCGCCATCTTGGTGCACTCGTTTGTGACTCCATGAGCGAGAACCAATCAGAATTGGATTTTTTTTAGGCCACTTTCAGCCCAACCAAAAGTGAGTTGTAATTCTGGGTATAAAGGGACTCTATTCGATGCTGATATGCCTGCACCCACTCAGCATAGAACCTTAATACAATCTTAGTATAATATTGCACATCTTACACATCAACATTGCAGCCATATTATATCCATCTTAGTAAGAATGAGGTAAGATTGCATCAATGTTGATGTGCTACTGCCAGGGACTTGCATGAACATTGCAACAACATTGATAGTAAGGTTGAAGTAACATCACAATAATCTTACATAATATTGATATGCCCCCGTCAACATTGTTATCAGGTTGGCACTTCTTGACATCTCCTTGATTGCCGGTCTATCAAGCTTACATCAATGTTGATATTGTCAGTCTTATCCTGACAATACTGATTTTACATTCCATCCATATTAGTAACATTACATCAATATATGTCAGCAAATAACAACATTGCTTTAAGAAATCATGCTGAGTGGGGAGTTATTACCAAAATTTACATTGGTTTTAGAAGAATTTCGGTTCAAAAATGTGGGCTTTTCGCGGTCATTTGGGCGACACACTTCACTCTATACTTCACCCCTTTCTGCTTGATTTTATGCATAAAATTATTTTTTACCCAAAGACACTGCTCAATCAAGAGTTATGCTCATTTCAGAACCACCAGACATTCGGATTCAGAGGGTAAACCTCGAGTTAGGTTTAGCCGTTATTTTGGCTACGCACCCCTCTGTATAACTCTCGATCCTATATGGCTATAATGGTTCTCAAGTGGTCATAACGTATGCATGACTGCACTGATCAGTGCCTTTAAGGAAAAAATAATTTTAATGCATGAAATCAACTACTTATAGAAAGTGGTGAAGTAGAACGTGAAGTTTGTCACCGAAATGACGAAAAGCCTACATTTTCGCACCAAAATTCTTCTGAAACCAATGTAAATTTTGGGAATGCCTCGCTGCAAGTACCAGCATTGAACTATACAATGTTTTTTTGTTCAGAAAATGATCGGGCCAACCGTGTCAGTGAACTTTCGGAAGAGAATAATAAATAAATATTATGAAAAATAAAAAGTGGAGGCAAAACTTTTGACCCTTTAGCTGAAAACGACCCATAATTTCCCATAAAGAAAAGTTGAATCCCCGAAAGTAAAAGCTTTCACCTATCACCAAGAAGTTAGTTGAAAGCCTCTCTATGTCTCTGCTTTTGGCACTGATGAAGTGGCACCTAAAAATTGTAAGTAGGTACTTTTTTAGCTGATATCAGCTTAAAATTTTAGGTGTCACCTAAAATTTCGTCACATTTTAGGTGACATTAGAACCCTGCCTCAAAAGTCACCCAATCTTAGGTTCAGTGAGGTGATCAGTTTTATCGGGGTTTTTGGACACTGAAGTGATTTACTTATTTTAGCGTAATATTTGAATAATTTTTTAACCTGAATGTAAGTGATAAGTCTTCGAAGTTCATCCAGTGCATTAGCTTGCATGAGAATATAATTCTTAGCTAACAAGAGGGTTGCAATTTTTGACAGTTTCCTCACTGATGGTGAATGAGCGTACGGTATCACACTTCGCAGTTCATCTAGAGCGTCGTTTAAATCGTGCATTCGTCTCCTTTCTCGAGCATTTATATTCAATCGAACTGACTTTCCTTGCCGGGATTTTGATTTTCCGGAGCTACCTCTGAGGCTGCTGGTGAATTGTTGTGATTGTAACCTGTAAAGAGCAAAGTAAATTGAATATTGGGTAATTGATTATATTAAAACACGCCTTACACAGCTCGGTATGCACCTCACGTCGGACAAGTAAAGGCTTTGACAGGAAGATGTTTGATAGGTCACCTAAAAGTTTTCTAGTCCATTTTAGGAAAATATGAAAATCCAATACTTAAGTATTATCCCCAGGGGAGTCGTTTCCTTCGAGGTAATTGATAGATTCCTCGGAGCAGCTGGTTTATCTTATAAACTACACCGGAGGTTTTTTCAGGTGGTATATGTACTCTTCAATTTCAAGAAAAAGAAAACCCGTTTATTTGAATTTGGGATACTGAAAACTGGAAAGAAGTTATAGGGCTTCCAGCACTTTTTCAATTTTTCACTGAGTCCTCTTATAAATGGCAATTTCACAACGTTGCCAACATCTACGTTCTCCATTGAAATTCTATTTTCTTCTTTCTCACAAATATACCTGCATTTACGCATCATCTTGTCCAACAGAGTAGGTGGACAACCATTTCCTAATAGCAATGGTACGTACTTCATTCATGCTTTCCCGGCGGTATTGTTTATCTGATAACTTGGAAGAGCGTTAAAATAAGTTTCTCATAAAATTTGTTTTCCACTGAAACGGTCCATTTCAAAAATAATTCATGTACCTACCAAACGATGCTGGTTTTTGATACCACTTAGTATTTATTTTTTAACCTTCGTAATGGTCTACGGTCATACCCAAGAAATTAAGTGATCCATTTTTTTCTGTCTCTATGGTGAATCGGATTTTGGGACGAAACGAATTGAAGTGCTCTAAAATGTACACATATGCAAATTTTTTGGAGAACATGTGATGCAATCGTCTACAAACCGTTTAAAGGAAGGTTACATTGCATTTAAGTGAGGCCAATATCTGTTCTTCTATACATTCCATTGCCAAAGAGGTTGTCCCATTTTCCATAGGAAATGGCCGCAAGAGCTTTTCCATCCATACTTTCAGGAATCATCACGTATCATCGGAGAAGCCTAAATCCGGTGTCAGTTCTCGTCTAGCCCTCCAGGTGGAGGGGGGGCAGGGGGTCAAAGGTCAAACACTCCGACCACCATAACTTTTGAACGAATTATCGGATCAACTTGATCTTGAGCTCAAATGGAAGCTCTTGACGAGACCTTTCATTTGATGTATAGTAGTGTCTATTTTTGGTGATATTTCAACATAAAAAAATCATTTTTTGATTTTTCAAGCCCAAAAAATTCAGTTTTTCGGGGCTTTCTCTAAAAGGGACGCATTAATCATTACAAAAACCAATTTAAATGAAAGTCCTTGATTCAAGCTTTAAAACAAGCTATCGTTGAACTTGGGAAAATGAATGGTTCAAAAGTTGTGACCGTTCAAAGTTGGCGTGGCGCGCTATTGTCGAAGCGCGCGGAGTGTATACTCGCGTGCCACCCCTCCCTACCTTTTCCCCTGGGGCCCGCTTCAGTTGATAACGGATACAGAAAGGTGCAAAGCTCCTTCCGCCTAAAGAATGACCAATCATTAGAGTTAAATTACTTTCTTTTCTAACGAAAAAAGGGAAATAAAAATAAATTAAATGCTAATAAACGATAAGACGCTGGCATACATTATTTTTTCGCCCCCCCCCCTCCATGATTTAATATTTGATGTAGCCAAATCAAGCCTCTCATCATTACGGTATCTGATTATTCCCGTGCAGGTAAATCTTGATGAGAGGGAAATAGATCGAAGAGAGATGAGGGAGAGATATTCAGTGGTAAATGCGAGTTTCAAGTGCTGCATGCTGGTTGGCTAGTTGCGTACCACACTCTATGAATATTATATACAGCTTTTTAGTGTATTTTGCGGTAAAAGAAGCTTGATTTGGCTATTATATATTAAATTATGGAGGGGGCGAAAAAATAATGTATATGCCAGCGTCTTATCGTTTATCAGCATTTAATTAATTTTTATTTCCCTTTATATTTCGGTAGAAAAAAAAGTAATTTTTTTTGTCTGTTAGCTCCTCTCAACGACGTACTCTCTTTCTTCACCGGTCAATTTTTGAGCAATCATACGAGCCTGGGTATCGTGGTGGCCACCGTTTTAGTTTTCTTGTTTTTTTTACAAAAAACTAGAGGGCTACGCCCCCTGGCCGCTCCGCGGCCCAACCCCCTCTTAGATTCTGTTAATTAATGATGAAAACATCACATAATTTTTTTTATACATTATTGTTTGTAGGGGTTGATATGTGCGATTTAATGACGCGCCTTATTAACACATTGTGTTGGAGTTCACTGCTTGTTTTAAGTTATATTCATAATAAAAAATGTTTTGTTCATAGTGACAAAATTAATTGTTTTGAAGATAATTAGTACATATTGCATTCCTCAATTTTAACAGTAGAAAATAAACAAAGTTATTGCAGAACTTCTTGATACACAATGTTCATTGCTGTGTTTTTATTTTTGTTGCCATCAAAATTAATGATTTTTATTTTTAAACCTTCTTTAGTCCTACATCTAGACAATGCTACATACAGTTGCCCGTGAGCGAACATTGGTCTTTCTTCATCTATAAAAATTCCTACTCTGTCAAATGATTGCCCTTGGCTTTTACTAATAGTCATAGCAAATGCTAATCTAACGCCCAAGTAGCATGAATTGCAATTTCATTGCAATGGATTGTGAGTTGATTGCAATTTTTGCTTGTTGCCTATACGTTCATTTGAAGGCGCTGAAAAAAGTTGCAATTTTACTGGAATGAACTTGCAGGAAATGTAGGTTATGCTTGTTGCCTAACCTTCTTTTTCAAGGCACTATAAAGACTGCAATTTCGGTGCGATCATGTTGAAACAAATTCACGCCATGTGCCTGGCATCCAATTTTCTAGTTGTTTTAAAGTTTTTTCGACTTAAATGTCTCACCTAACCCATATAGCCCTACATATTTTGAAAATATTGTCACCTTTATCAAAATATTTTCATGGCAATATTGTAACTAAAATATTTTCAAAATATTTTGAAAATGTTCTTAAAACATTTTAAAGGAATATTTTGAAAATGTTTACAAAAAATATTTTTAAAATAATTCAAAAATATTGCCTGTAAACATGCATGTTAAAAATATTCCTCAAGAAAGTTTTGAAAATATTTTAAAAATATTTTTAAGTTCTCAAGTTAGTATGTGGTGTAATTTACACCGGTGTAAATTTAGTGTAAGTACCTATTACGTGATATCGAAAAAAAAA